CAGTCCTGAACTCTAGATTAATAAATCCATTAATTAAGCACTAGTTGAGAGATAGATAGATAGATAGATAGATAGATAGATAGATAGATAGATAGATAGATAGATAGACGGATAGATAGATAGATAGATAGATAGATAGATAGATAGATAGATAGATAGATAGATAGATAGATAGACAGAGAAAGAAAGAAAGAAAGAAAGAAAGAAAGAAAGAAAGAAAGAAAGAAAGAAAGAAAGAAAGAAAGAAAGAAAGAAAGAAAGGAGATCAGGCAAGATACCCTGACTCCGGTATTAAAAGCTACATTTTGTTCCACTGTATATTTGTCTTAAGCAGGAACGGTATTTTGTAAAACAACTGCCACCAAATGTATACAAAAGCAGCTTCAATTAAGTTTGTCTCCAGAATGTAACATTCTGTCAATACTCTGTCCCTTGGACTCAGGCATATCTTTTAAGAAAGGTGGTGCCACAATTTTATGTCAATTGCATTGTTTTTTAAAAGAAGGAATGGGAAGGAATTTTGAGCAGAGCATAGTATCTTTTAAGTTCAAAGGGAAAAAAATCACAAACTTCTCAACAGAATCTTTAGCTTTGGTGAACAGGCATACAAAATAAATTAGTATGTAAATAAAAGAAAAACTTTTTGGACGTAAATGCTTTCGGAAATGGAGAAACTAGCCTTTTCTTTCCGTGTACACTACAGTCAAAATACTTTTCAGCAGAAACAATGTATGAGTTACACCCTACCTTATCCTTTATTTTTACATTGTCGCATTCCCCTCTTGGTTGATTCTTTGTATGTACTTGATTAAGGCAGAAGGAATCATAGGAGATTTTGATAGAGCTTGGCACAGAGCTATGTTCTAAAATAATTTTGGAAGATAAATCCTAAAATGAAATAAAAATAAACTTGATGAAAGGCTAGAACCACTGTCTTATTACCGTATTCAGAGGAAGAAAAACAAGGTATTATTGTCTATAAATTCACACTAATACACTTCTTACATATAGAATAAAAATAAAATGAATCAACGCCAAGAATTTGGGTGTCTCTCTTTTTGTTGACATATCTTATTGTAAGTGATGATCCAGTGATACAGCTGATTGCTACTTTCTTACAGAAAATACATAGTCTTCCAAACCAAGAGAGAGTCACAGTAACATTCGTTTCTGAAAGATGGCTGGATTTTCTCTCCCTGTAATGAATGCATTATTTTCTGGCCGGGCAAGCAAAATGGTCAGCTCAGCTATAGTTATCCTAGTCAAGAGTTGTTTTTACTTCTTCTGCCTGACACTTTTTAAAAGAATTTAAATATATTTCCAAAGAGTAAAATAAATAGCCAGTTTAGCACTCTTTTTCACTGTAAGGACCACAGCAAATTCTTTGGATCCGTACCTTTGCATGATGCATGCATACAAATCCACACATAGATCTTCCTTACACACACATGCCATATGTACACTACAATTATCTAATACAAATAATGTCTGTATTAAATAATTACATAGAGAATTGTAGCTCTTTACAGTACTGTATCTTTTCCTGTTATATTTTTTCATTTATACTAAGCATTTATTGTGTATTTTTATGCAGCCTTTTGATACAGTAATGCATATCCTTTTGAGTTCGTTCCTTTGTCATTTTATTATAATTTCAAAAACAATACAAATTTTGTTTTAAAAAAGAACTTCCTATACGTACACAGATTAGCTTTAAGCTCTTAGACGGGGAGTGAAGGAGAAGCTATTATGATGTTTTTCATTCTCAACACTGACAAAGGATATTATCATTAAGTACTAGACTGGGAGAAAATGAGAAGCCACGAGATTTTCTGTTCTTCACTGCAAGAATGACTTTGTGCAGCTTGCCAGTAAGTAAGTAGGTTGTCAGGCTGCCTGGAAGTGAGAAATGGATGGAGACATATGTGTTGAGCTGCAGGCAACTTCCAGAGATTGTATATAGCCCTGTGATGGCGAACCTATGGCACACGTGCCAGAAGTGAGAGGTCACCTGGAAGAGCCCCACTGCGCATGTGCCCCCGCCAGCCAGCTGATTGTCGGGTATCTGCTGCACATGTGCAGGGAGAGACATGCGTGTGGGAGATGCGCATGCATGCGTAGAGTCATGTGGCATGCAGAGGGGTTGCATGTGCATGTGCAGAGGCATGTGGTGTGCGGGTCATGCGCGCATGTGCAGAGGCATGCAGTGCATGCATGTGCATGCTCAGGGGGGGCGGGGGAAGTTGCACGGGAATTGCATCATGGGTGCAAACACGCATGCGCGCTTATGGCACACAACGTGGAAAAGGTTAGCCAGCACTGATATAGCCTATGAGCTAGAAGTGGACTTACGTGAGATAAGAAGATTATTAATGACACTTACATCATAAGCACGCTGGATGAGTTGAACTATATTACTTGAATTCCCCTCCAGTTTTCCTACAGCAGACTTGGGGATCATCTTGCTCAGTTTCTACCAGTAAAAAACAAATATGCCAAAAGCATTATCTTATAAGCTTTCACGCAGCATGATACCATAATAACGTTTGCTTAGTTCATGTGACACAATTTATAAAATCTATTTTATGGATTTACTTACTTCGTATGTATCGTAGACGTTTTGGGTAACAGCAAAAATGGGCTGGATATTATTTTCTTTAAGTTTTTGTATCAACTGACCAACAGAAGGATAATCCTATGAAACCAAGAAAATGGTGTGAGAGCTCCATTTTCAAATCAACGCAGATGATAACCTAACCCATTCACTAATTCTGACTTGGCTTTTGGACAGGAGACCACCCTGCTTCAGTCTCAGCCTGAACTGAATTGTTTCTCTCCTCCCACTTTTTCTTGCCACAAAAGTCCACTGAGATGGAAGAAAAATGGAATAATTGCTGAATTGCTTACTATATTCATAACTGTATGGGTGCCCTATTGCAGGGGTGTCAAACTCAAGGCCCGCAGGCTGGATCCAGCTTAGGGTGCTTAGATCTTAGGGTGCTTAAATCTGGCCCGCGGGGCTGCCCTGGAAACAGCAAAGGACCAGCCCACAGTAGCTCTGCCAGCGAAAACAGAGCTTAGGGGAGGCGCCCACTTTTGCTAGCAGAGTGTTGCAGGAGGCCATCAGAGCCAAAAACGGAGCATGGTGTGGCCGCCTGGGCCACCACAAGTGACATCGAGCTGGACACACCCACATGGACACGCCCCCCCCAGCCCCCCTGATGTCAAACACAACCCTGATGTAACCTTCAATGAAATTGAGTTTGACACCCCTGCCCAATTGCATTCTACTGTTTTATTCTGTCTCTCATTTGCGCCCTGTCATGTGACTGGTAGTTCAAGCAGCATCAGTCCGAGAGCAACACTGTTTTTGAGTAACAGAGCATCAGATTATGAGGCCTCTTGCTTTAGAGATGACCACTCTCAGAATGTGACCTGCACTAGTCTTGCCAGAACAAGGTCTTCTGTCATTCGCCATCCTTTCTTCAAAAGTGGCTATGGGATGGCCAAGGGAACAATGGGTTCATAGTGGGCAAGCTTACATAAGGATTAGAAGTGTTGAAGGCAGGGCAGCCGCTTTTGGCTACTCATTAAAGCTGCTCATTTTTTCCCCAGGCTTCCCGAAGAGAAGCCTGGAAAAACTTGTACAGCTTTAATGAACACAAACAGCTTCTGTGTTCACACAAATTCAGCAGGTCTTCTTTTTAAGAATCGTTGACGTGTTTATAGCTTTACTACATTTTAATATTTTGTTTGTTCTTTTTTTTAATTCCATAGATTTCTTTTAGGCAGCACACTTTGTGTATTGGGGTGTGTGGGCATTCATGGTGGTACAAGTACATGTTATTAGATAGATAGATAGATA